CCCCAAAACCCCAAAACCCCAAAACCCCTTGAATTAGGAATTTAATGAATAAGTGATAACTTATATATATATTAAATTAAACATTAAACTGTGTTGATAATTAGTTTTCATATATTTACAATAGATTTCTCTCACATACCTGGGTGAACTCTAAGGAAAATTGGGAATCTGGGTTTTCCTGAGTTGGATTTTCCCATATATTTATATGTTACACGGCTACCAATCTTAGGTGGTTTCATTCTTTATTTGTCATCAAATCCTGATCCGATCTTAAAGACTATACCGTCATCGCCTCTTACTTCAATAGCTCCACACATGTTAGAGCATCTACCAGTGCCTTTGTGATGTGCAATAACCGTTGCCTCTGCATCATCAAACTTTTTGACTTTCAATAATTTATCACTACGTTTGTTTTCGTACTTGCAATGAGAATCTTTTATCATCATGCCTTCTCCTCCTTTAGCACAGACCTTCTCTAACTCCTCCATCAAATGCTCATAACTTTTACAAACTTCATGTGGATGGACCTTGATATGGGCAATACCCAATTTACTAATAACCTCCTCCATTTTTCTTAGTCTTTACTTAAAGGTACCCTTTGCCTTTGGAGCATCATACACCATGTACTTGATATCTTTCCATTCTTCATTCTTATCTTATCTTCTTACTATACTAACAATCTTTTAGAAGTCTCCTCTCTTAGTCCATAGTTCTCCATCAAGACACAAATCTTCAGGCAACCCTTTCTTAAACCAATCTGGTGGGTAGAAAAGATGGCCATTTCTAGTATACATTGCTGAACCATTCCAATAGCATCTTACTCCATCTAGTTTCTCACTCATTAGCCAGTCTTTTGGATCTTATGTTTCAGGATCAAATGTTTTTGCTAGCATTACATCAATGCACTTTCCACCTGTTGATCCATTAAGACTATTCAATTAATCTGCTTAATCCAGTATATCATCGATATCGAAGTTGTACTCCTTTCCAGCCATTCTAACTGACCTTCTTAGACCCTAATCAGCATCAGACAGCTTTACATCACCCTTCTTCTCTTCCTCCTTAGAACTTTATATCAGTTGTTTTTTTAGATCAGAATCCTGTTTCTGATCAGAACTGACTTTTCCAATATCATAGTCTGCCTTCTTTCTTTTGATAATTTCACCTTTTTTACTATCATTTGAGTCGATAGAAGGATCTCTCTATCTCTTTCCTAGGTTTTTCTATTATTTGATTTCCTCCTTTTATCTCAACTCTTCTTTCTTTTTCTTTTCCAACTCATCTTTCTCCAAGTAATTATCTTTCTTAAAATCTTTTAATATCAATTCAAGTCCAAGCAAAGCATTTTCTAAATCACCGTACTATTCTGATTGAGTCTTTATCAACTACTACTTCTGGTAAAATCTCTTCTGAATTTCATTTGACTCAAGGATAGCTATAGTTACTCTTTCAATCTTATTTCTTGGGTTCAATAATTCGTAAGGACCTGCAATTACTTCAACGCTTGCACTCATCTGAAATATGTGTAATTAATTAATTATAAAGATTTCAATTTCAATTCAATTTATACTTAAGGGGTTTTGGGGTTTTGGGGTTTTGGGGTTTTGGGG